CCCTCAAGACGAATTGCTCGTGTGTGGGTGTGCTTCCTTCCATTGGGGGAGTGAGTTTGGGGATGGTGGGTGGGACGTGGGATCTTAATTTATTTTTTTGTCTGTTTTCTCGTGCAGCGATCGTGGGCCAGGTTCATTGTAGAAAATATTTATTTATTGGTGGGAAGGGAGTCTTAGTTTATTGTGTTGTGTCGTTACGTTTTTTTGACGGATTGTCCGTTTGTGGTTTTTGTCAGTAGCAGGAGGAATGGTGTATAATATACCTTGCATTTGCAGGTCATGTGCGGACGGTGTTGTTGTATTTTTGACTCTGTGGATGAAGTTGGCGGGTATTGGTGTCTGTATATATATTTTATCGTTTTCGTTCATGTTTTTTTTTGCTATCTGCGCGTGCGGTGTGTTTTTGATTTTTTGTTTTTTGGTTCTCGGTTTCTTCTCCCTCAAAACGAATTGCTCGTGTGTGGGTGTGCTTCCTTCCATTGGGGGAGTGAGTTTGGGGATGGTGGGTGGGACGTGGGATTTTTTTTTTTTTTTTTTGTCTGTTTTCTCGTGCAACGATCGTGGGCCAGATTCATTGTAGAAGATATTTATTTATTGGTGGGAAGGAAGTCTTAGTTTATTGTGTTGCGTCGTCACGTTTTTTGGATGGATTGTCCGTTTGTGGTTTTTGGTAGTAACAGGAGGAACGGTGTATAATATACCTTGCATTTGCAGGTCATGTGCGGGCGGTGTTGTTGTATTTTTGACTCTGTGGATGAAGTTGGCGGGTATTGCTATCTATATATATATTTTATCGGTTTTTTTCTTATTTTTTTGCTATCTGCGCGTGCGGTGTGTTTTTGAATTTTTGTTTTTTGGTTCTCGGTTTCTTCTCCCTCAAGACGAATTGCTCGTGTGTGGGTATGCTTCCTTCCATTGGGGGAGTGAGTTTGGGGATGGTGGGTAGGACGTGGGATCTTAATTTATTTTTTTTCCGTTTTCTCATGCAGTGATAGTGGGCCATGTTCATTGCATAAAATATTTATTGGTGGAAAGGGAGTCTTAGTTTATGCGTGCGGTAGTGTACGGAGGTTTTACTTGTGCTTTGTTCATTATGCCAGTGGTAGTGTGCAAAAGGTTATAATATGCTTGCGGTAATGTACAGAAGGTTGTATTAGAGATGT